GCAGAGAGCCCTACAGAGAATAAAGTCTTTTTTCCTTTTTTCTTTTTCTTTCCCCCTTTAGGTTCCGGCCCTTTGTGCCGCACATCCCCTTTGATTTCTATGTCGTGAGTAACCCTCTCCCACGGAGCTGTTTGCAGGCAACAGCTGCGGGACTTTTCCTTGTTTAAAGATGCATTTAAAAAAAAAAAAACAAAAGAAAACAAAAATCCACGTTCACTGACTTTGATGGTTTGAATTCCTTTAGCGTAAAGAGTTCCCTGATGGGTTCGGTAACTAACCCAAAACAGATCTTACTGCCTCGGTCTCGACCGCTTGTGTCCCACGGGATGGCTGGGATGCAGCTGAGTAATAATCACGATAAATAAGGGCCTCGATTGGGGGTCTCTGCGTTTTAAGGCACCAGACCCTCCGTTCCGCCAGCTCCCTGTAACACAAACCTCGGGGCTCACTCAGACCTTCTCCCGCTCTTTTGCCTCATCGGTCCTCACAAGGACTGAGGTCAAAGATGGAATAATAAAAGCACCAAGTAAAAAGCAAAAGAATTTAAAAAAAAAAACCAAAGAAAAGAAATGGAGTGAATTGTGCTGATGACCCAAAGTTCTTTTTCTCGGGCGTTGCCGTCTGATGTCTGGTCCCGTTTCAGTGCGAAATGGCTTTTCCCCGCGTAAAACCTGCCGCCGACGAGACCGCGTTCAGCGAAGCCTTGCTGAAAAGGAACCAGGATCTCGCTCCCACCGCTGCTGAACAGGTCTTGTGCCAAAACCAGCCTGAAATTCGGGATTTTACCTGCGGAGAACACAAAGACGGGCTCGGGGGGAGCTGCGTGAGATCCAGTTAGTTCAGCTCTGGTAACGCCGCCCGTCTCCCATTTCCCTCCTCAGGCTTCCATCCTTTCCCTGGTGACTAAAATCAACAACGTGATCGACAATTTAATCGTCGCGCCAGGAACGTTTGAAGTGGTGAGTCCAAGAGCAGTGAATTTGAGGAAATAAAAGATGCTTCGGCACGCCCAGAGCGGATTAAAGATTCACGCCGACACGAAGCAGGCGGATGAAATTCAGCGCTTTTTTTTCTTTTTTCGTTTTGCTCCCTCCCAACAGCAAATCGAGGAGGTTCGCCAGGTGGGTTCCTACAAGAAGGGCACCATGACGACGGGGCACAACGTGGCCGACCTGGTGGTGATTCTGAAAATCTTACCCACCCGTGAGTAAACCCCCCCCGCCCCCGCCGCTGCCGCCCCCCGCGGCGCTCGGCTCCGCTCTGAGCAACTCTTCTGCTGCTGCTTCTCCTCAGTGGAAGCCGTGGCGGCCTTGGGGAACAAAGTCGTGGAAAGTCTGAGAGCGCAGGACCCCAGCGAAGGTGGGACGCTCGAAGGGACGTGGGTGATGCGGACGTAAAGCTGAGGGGACGTGGTTTCCCCTCGAGTTTTGGCAGAAGGTCCGTGGTCTTTCCGGTCAAGCCTTCCAGCCCCCTCACGCGAGGAATTCTTCTTTCTCCCCAGTCCTGACCATGCTGACC